ACCCTCATGCGGCTGAACTGCTATTCGTCGTTGAAGGTAGTCTAGAGGTTGGATTTGTGGACACCACTAACAAGCTATACACTCAGACTCTCCAAGTTGGTGACTTGTTTGTGTTCCCTAAAGGGCTAGTGCATTATCAGTACAATTCTAATAGGAATGAATTAGCTACAGCCGTGTCTGGTTTTGGCAGCGCGAATGCTGGAACTGTTTCACTTCCTACAACACTGTTTGCTACTGGGATCGATGATCAAATTCTCGCTAAGTCCTTCAAGTCTGATATTGCCACTATTCAGAAGATCAAGGCTGGTCTTTCACCTTAGTCAATTTTTCTGTATTTTCAACACTAAAATTTTGTTTCTTGAGGTGTCTATATTAGCACCGCGATCTGCATCATAAAATGCAGTACTACTACTTCTGCTTAGTTCTTGACAGACTGTATTTTTTGTTTAAGAATTTTTACACAATAAATTGTTCTATACCTGACATTGATTAGTCTTTAACAACTCTCAGAAATGCAAGCAGTCATGAATAAAAATGTCGATTAATCTTTTAGCCACGGCGCTGCATTCTGTGACGTACAGCTTCATTTCCTGTAGTTTATTTTGCAAACATATCAAACACCAAATGACTAGAAAACCAAATAGTAGTTACTATTTGGAATCAATAAGAAGCTTCATATCTGCAGTCTAAGATGAAAGGCTAGCCTTCATCTTCTGAATGGTAGCAAACAGTGGCGGAATCAGAATTTTTACTAAGGGGGTTCAATATATAAAGACGCAAACATGTTATAAAGCCAACAGGATTCGACATCTACTTTATATACATAAAATGGAGCCAGCCTATTGTATGAGTAATGCAACGTTAGAAACATATTATTGAATGTCCATAACTGTTATTGATCATGAGTAGCAAATGTTGTCTTACATTAGAGGAAACTGTGGACTAATAAAATATGCAGATTGCAGTACTATCCTGTAAGTACATGTCAAGACACACAAGTTTAGTAGTGAAAATATAGAAAATTGCCTAAGATGAAAGACCAGCCTTGATCTTCTGAATAGTGGCAATATCAGACTTGAAGGACTTAGCGAGAATTTGATCATCGATCCCTGTAGCAAACAATGTTGTAGGAAGTGAAACAGTTCCAGCACTCGCGCTGCCAAAACCAGACACAGCTGTAGCTGATTTATTCCAATCAGAATTGTACTGATAATGGACTAGTCCTTTAGGGAACACAAACAAGTCACCAACTTGGAGAGTCTGAGTGTAAAGCTTGTTAGTGGTGTCCACAAATCCAACCTCAAGACTACCTTGAACGACGAATAACAGTTCAGCTGCACGAGGGTGTGTGTGGGGCGGGTTAACACCTCCTCCGGGGAACTGAAGCACTGCCAACGAAACACTCTGGCCATCCAAACCTGGAAACTCTGCCTTGCTCACTTTTGTCACTGTGAACTTTTCAATGATGCTGCCAAAAATATCACGTGTACCAGTGAAGGTAAAGAAGTTCCCATCTATGGTGCTTCCTGCAGGAACATTGAAGTCAGACAAGATATCTGGATCACTAGCTTGAACCATCGAAGAAATGAAAAAAACGGCTAGAACAACAAGGAAACTTTTCAAGAGGAATGAGGCCATTTTTCGTTGTTACAGGTAAAATGAATATAAATAAGTTATCAAATGATGATTATTAGTTCTGTTAGACCACAAATTTATAAAAAGACCAAAACCAGAACCAAATTTTGCTAAAGGATAAGCCAGTTGGTAATAGATGTTAACTAAGCTTGACACATTATACTAATTTGTTTTTTATAGCAGAAACTACCTGGAAATCACATTATAAGATTTGATAATTCGAAAATTGTCTCAATATTCCTTAGGTTTCATCAGTTATATGCTTCAAGATAATACTTTTATAGACTCTTTGATCTTGTAATATAAGCAAAGTGCATAAAGTCGAAAACATTACAATTTTTAAAGGGAAAAAGTTAACTGTTTTCTCTTGTCCATATTGAAAGCCAGAACTGGAAAGGGGTGCGTAATTTGTGTTGTTTCTTCAGTTGACACAATAAACTTCTGGAGCAGTTTCCTATATTCACAATTCCTTTTTGTTTTTGCAATTCATCGGAGACTTCAATCTCGATTCTTGTTTGATATGTCCCTTGTATAGCTATAAAATCTTTAGTCCTTCAAGAAATCATTCAAACAAATAAACGAAAACAGGAGAAAAAATGGAATCAAAAACTTCAAGTTGCATAGTTCTGTTAGCTCTAGCAACATCATTAGTCATTTTCCAAATGGCATCAGCTGGTGACCCTGACATCCTAACAGACTTTGTGCTTCCACTGGGCGTGCCATCAGTTGACGCTTCCTACTTCACCTTCTCAGGCCTAAGGGGACTCGTAGGAGCTCCACCACCCGAAAAATTCAAGGTGACAAAGGCAGCAATGACCGAGTTTCCAGCCCTGAATGGACAAAGTGTTTCCTATGCAATCCTACAGTACCCTGCAGGCTCTGTCAACCCTGTCCACACTCATCCACGTTCAGCCGAGCTACTTTTCCTCATGTCAGGTACATTGGAAGTAGGATTCATCGATACCACGAACAAGATTTTCACTCAAACATTGCAAACAGGAGACGTTTTCGTGTTCCCTAAAGGACTAGTACACTACCAATACAATGCTGATGCTGAAAATTGTGCTTGGGGTATATCTGCCTTTGGAAGTGCAAATGCAGGCACTGTTTCTGTTCCCAACTCTGTGTTCAATACAAGCATTCCTGATAACATTTTGGCTAAGTCTTTTAAGACTGATATCATTACTATTCAGAAAATCAAGGCAGGTCTAGCCTGAAGACTACGTTGCTCGGACTATTCAAAAATGTCGTCAGGATGCTTTCAGATCCTCTAAAAGTAGTGTATTTTTGGATGATCCAACACATGTGTGACAACATTTTTAGATAGTCCGACCAACATAGCTTAAGGGTAGTTTTTTTTTTATTTCATATTCTTGTTTTTCAATTTTCATGTAAAGTAATTAATCTTCAGAGAATCTTGAATAAGAAGATTTATACTTTATTTATGGCATGGCATCAAAATGCAAAGTATAATGATAATTGACCTTATATATTTTGAGAAAACTTGAAAAAGTTCTCTTTTTTTTTTTTCCATTTCTATTCGGTGATAGAGCTAGAAATTTCAAAATATAAAGTAGTAAAGCAACAAAAAGAAATCATGGAGATTCAACATATATCGAGAGGAAATAATTTGACCTTATATATACAGTATATAATGAAAGGGATTTGCATGAACCCCTTCGCCCCTCTCTCAACCTCCGGTATTAGTAGTTATAAAAAAATTCCCACACGTGTGATGGGTCGAAGACATAATAATTTTATTGTATTGTTCCATTATATAACAAAGAAAAATTTCTTTTTATGCATGACCGATTTAGTGCAATCGCATCATTATTTTTTCCCTCATCTTGCCCTTAGTTTCTTAAATTAATAATTTTATTTTATCATATAAATAAAATATATTGGTAAATTTAGTTGGTAAATATTTTTGATAAAAAATAATGAATTTGGTGAATATAAATGGTTACATAGAAATTGATTTAAAGTAATAATAAATTGGGATAATTGTACAGAATGACAAACGTATAATCTAAAATAAATGGAGTAGCTACTGTTTGATTTAATTGCGCCCCGTAGCAAACGTTTGTCAGTCGCCTCTCTCCCTCCAAATTCTCGCTCGCCACCCTCCCTTTCTCGCTCGCTCCCTTTGTGCTCGCCTCTCTCGCTTTATACAACAGAATTGTATAAATTGTGTTTCTGTTTGTATAAAGCGAGAGAAAATTGTATATGCACATGCAAATACATATATATTCGTCCTATACACTTATAATTATACAATAAAAATATTCCCTTGCCCAGTTCTCTTTTGCCTTTCTCTCTTTCTCGTTTTATACAAACACAAATTATACAATATAATGTATAATTTATGTTTGTATAAATCGAAAGAAAATTGTATATACACATGCAAATACATATATATTCGTCTTATACACTTATAATTATACAATACAAATATTCTCTTACCCAGTTCTCTTTTGCCTTTCTCTCTTTCTCGTTTTATACAAACACAAATTATACAAATATAATGTATAATTTATGTTTGTATAAAGCGAAAGAGAGAGCGATTTTTTATATACAAATATTTTTGTCAACAATTTATACAAACGAGAGGCTAACAACAATTTATACAAATGGCCTGCCAACGAAATTATACAAATCTGAAAAGGAGCCAGCGAATTATACAATTGCTTCTTTTTGTATATATGTATAGCGAAATAGACATAACTTTCAATTGCATATGTATAGCGAATTATACATATATATGTTTGCTATGGAGCGCAATTATGCAAACTTTGTTATATCATACAAATATGATTTTTTTGTTTGCTATATGTGAAAGTTGCTCTAATAAATTCTATGTTAGTGAGAATAATCATTATATATGAGACATAAATGGTTTAAAAAAATAAAGATATGAATTATAAATTTTATTTACCTATCAAATAAATAGTTAGTAGATATATATTTGGGGTTGGTATTACAAAAATATAAACTTTTGGGTCAATTTTTGTATTTGAAAAATTCCAAATCATGATTTGTGGAGAATTTGGAATTTCATCTCATGATTTCATATCGCATGTCCAAACATCTACTTAATAAAAAGTCAAGAGAAGTGGCGAAAATACTACTAAACTTTACCTGAATTTAGGTTGTATTTCAATCATGTTGCAAAATCAGGAAAATATTTAAGTTAAATTAGTCAAATTAAAGAGTATTTTTAAAGTTGTTAATAATTTGAAAATAAAATTAATAATTGAGGGTATTTCAATTTATGAAAGATATGTGTAACAACAATATTGAATAGTGATTGATTTATTCAATAATTCTTACATCACTTTTCCCACTTGAACAAATTGATGACAAAAGAGAAATCAAACTTTTAATAACAAAACTTCATCAAATTGCCCATTCAAGATTCTTTGATTTCTGTTTTCTTTCTAATTTCTCTGAGTTTTCAAAGAACCCAAACTGTGAATTTGTTGTGTGAAAGAGATCGATGATATTACTGCAATCTCCCTCTAGATATCTCCTTCAGATCTTGTACAATCGCGTCCAGAAGTAAGCTTCAATCCATTTCACTTTTTTCAATTTTCCCTCTTTTTAACACTTTTTCCGGTCAATTTGTGGTTTAGGGTAGTCTGGATTTGCATTATTGCTGTTTTTTTTTTGGAGTTGATTGATGTTTGCATAGTTTTAGCTCATTTCTGTGTGTGATTATCTGCTGGAATTAGCATAAGCATAAAGTTGCAATCTTTTAGTATTTAAAAAGAAAATTAGGGTAGGAGAAGGGGGAAGGGATTACAAAGTGGGGAATCGAAAGCTTGTGAAAGTTTTGGTAGCCAGCTAATGAACTGAGCTAATAAGATTAAACCTCTGTGGATTGCATTATTGTTTATTTTTATTTTTTATGGGAGCTGATTGAATTGCAGCTAGAATGATTGATGTTTGCATAGTTCTAGCTTATAACTGTGTGTGGTTATGAAGATGAAAGTACTTATATGCATCTGCTGGATTAGCATTTGTTGTTGCACTTTCTTAAGCATAAAGTTGCAATCTTTTTTTTTCCCCGATAACCATGGTGTCCAGACCAGCTTTCGTACACCTTGACTAAATCCACGGGATATGTGCCACCTCCCTTGCACACCTTGACTAATTCCATGGGATATCCGCCACTTCCTACCAACAACAATTAATAGGTAACTTTGACCACAAAGGCTAGGACAAATGAGAAGAAATCGCCAAGTATTTTTGTCTCTGTTGGGATTTGAACATGATTCTCAACCCACTTCATTGATCACTAGGCTACACTCTTTGTGCTATTACATGGATTTTGTATGTGGGTGAATATTTCATAAGGACCCAAGTAACTGTTTGGAATGAGTATGTCCGATATTTAGCAAACTCTAGTTGATTGAGTTACAGCTAGTATAGTTGATGTTTCTGTGTAGTTCTAACTCATTTCTGTGCTTGAGTACGAAGATGAAGCACTTATATGTGTCGCTAGGTATTAGCATTTGTTGTTGCTCTTATTTAAGCGTAAAGATGTAATCTTTCAGTCATTAACACCCGTGTTACATGGGTATATGGGTGAATTCAGTATGAGTATGTCCAATAGTTGGCAAGCTCTAGATGATCACTATACAGTGAAGCACGGAATTACTATGTGAATAAAGTACCATAATGTTGTAATGTGCATTTTCAAAAAATGCACAAGTGTTTCAACTTTTTCTACCTTTTGCATAACAGTTTGGAGAGTTGCATTTCCTTCCTCGCATCCCAGGGAGCTGGAGTAGAGGATGAACATGAACTGCTACACTTATCAGTTACCGAAGTAGAATCAGCTAATCAATCCAAAAGTGCTGCCAACAAAGTCACAAATGTTCAAAATTTGATTAATTGTTCAAGCATTAGCTACCGTGATATTAAAATTGATCATTTTAATTTGTTTACTTCCGTTTAGTGATTTGTCATGGGAACCCCTCCCTGTTAACAATATAGCATAAATTTCCGGTTCCTTTAATCGTCCAATTGCTCTGAGCTTATTCTTTCACTAATTGGTGTATGCTAAAAGTTTTAAAATATGACGTACCTAGTTTACTGATCCTTGAATCTTCCAAAAAAATTGGCAGCCATGTATTGCATATAGAACCGATGCCATTCCGTTATTTGTTTGAATAATCTGTAGTAGATTCTGACAGCACATCCTTATTTTGCAGTCTTGAGAAAGGAGTTGAACTGGACTGCCAATGGGTTGAATTTGATGATATCCGTTACCATATTCAGGTGAGTTATTATCATACAACAGTCCACTTTGATCAGTTTTCTTTCTTTTTTTCCCTTCAAAAGAAAAATGGAAGAACCACTAAACACATCATTATTTTAAAAATGTTAATTGAGATGGTCATATCTTATTTTGACATGCTGTCATCTATGATACATCTGGCTGGCTAATCTGTAACATATTCTGCAGGGTTCAGTGAAAAATCCAAATGTCCTGCTTCTTTCTGTATCATTGCCCATACCACCTCCAGAAACTGTCCTCTTTGGTGGACTTCCACTTGGAGCGCTAGAAGCCATAAAAGCAGCATATGGTGTAGTTGCACAAATTCTTGATCCTCCAAGAGATGGGTTTAATCTCACACTTAAACTAAACTTGTCAAAACTTCCCCCAGATGAAGGTTCTGCAAGTTTCCTCTTTAAGGTCATTATGAGCTTGCTATAATTGTGCTGGATGGTATAGGATATTAGTCCAAACTGCATTACTAGAAAATTTTGGGGGGTTCTTATCTTCTAAGGTTCATCAAGAGTCCACTTCATGTTGCATGTCTATTTTACCAAATTCCTTTCAATCTAAGTTGAGAACACTCATTGATAAGCACACATTCAGCACACACACATGAAAAAAGGGTTTTCATTCTTCTCTGTTTCTCTTCAGTCGAAAATTTCAGTGTTTCCTTTCTCATGGAGTTTTTTTGGCTTGTGTGTGTGTTTTCATTATTCCTAGAACTAAAAGGGAAATTGACAATTTTTCCCTCAGTCTTCTAGCTATTGAAAGTACAATTTATTGTCTGAGTAGTGGCAAAATATTTCAAAGAAAAAAGATATAACTGTATATTATACTAGTATGCAGCATTCACTGTCGGCTCGAAGTTGGGCCTCCAAGCTTCTGAATTTCTGTTCTTGAATATCATAGTTCAGTAAATAATCTCTAAACAAAAGGATACAAGTCCAATGAAAGATCTGTACAGGAAACAATTAAACAAGCTAGAGTTTTTCTCTACAGAAGTCACCTATTCATCTGTAAAAGTTGGCAACCATGTGTTGCCCAAAAGGAAAGAGCAAAGTCATCTCAATGTTGAGTATATGGATTAAATTAAAGAGCCAATTGGTTCTCATTATCGAGAAAGAAAGTTCAACTGTGGCTAGCAATGGTGAATCAAACTTTTCCATTTTTCTACGAATCTCAGTCTTGTTGTCTTGTACTCTAGAATTTTTTTAACTTGATCTTCAATTGGTGGCTTTAGAACATTTGTTCCCCAAAAACAAATTTTGTACTCAAAGGAGAGACGTAAGCACAAAACAATCAGAGGTACTCAACGAACTCAAAAAAAGTATACAAGCAGGGGAATAGCTCCCTTTGAAATAAAGACTAAAAGGCCCTTGCAAAATTTAACTCTGTGTGCCATGGTTCACTTGGATCTGTGTTATATGTTTTGTATGCACTTAGGTTAAAGCTCTTTGTTATATACTTCCTCCATGTGTTTCCTTTCAGTCCATTGTGTCCATTTTCTGTAATTGAGAATTATATAGCTTTACTATTTACAACTTTTTGAATATTGCACCAGTCTCATTGGACCTACTCTTATTCTTATAAAGTATTTAAAATTACCTAAGAATAACCATATCTGTACTGCCGGTGGTATTATGAGGTATCCACCAAATCCAGGAGGAAAATATCCTCCTGGATGTTGCTAGTGCGTAAAATAAAAAACCATATTTCTACTTTCAGCACACCCCTCCTCACAATCCAATGTAATTTCAGCTTTCACTGTTGATCTTTTAGCTGGTCGGATTCGAGCTCCAAAGTGCAAACTTGGGATGGTAGTACAAGTCAATATGTAGCATTACACTTTTTTTTATGAGTTGGTATACTTATTATTTCAGTTCTCTTTAAATTTGTGAACAGTTCTATGTAGAGTACTAATTTTCAGAAAATCTTTGATACTTCTGAACTGGGTGATTGTCTATTTTTGCTGAAAGTTTCAGTTACAATCCTGGAATATACATTGCTTATGATATTTCCTTCTGATTGTAGAGCAAAAACATGCACTCCTGACAAAGATTGCATCGGTGAGGGAGGTAGTAATGGGAGCCCCACTGAGGGCAGTTTTGAAACAACTTGTTACAAGGACAGTTCCTTCTGATCTAGGCAAGCCCGTTGCCCTGGTTCATCGTCCCAACGAGTCTTTTTTCCTTGTACCTCAGGTGAGTAATTTTATCTACTTTATAACATGCACACAGTGGTGAAAATTATAGCTTACCTCTATAGGCTTAAGTTCAATAAACATGAATCCATTTCAAAATGCTGTGGTGAAAAGTCAGTTTTTCACTATGAATCCATTTCCAAATTCTGCAGTGAAAACTTTCTTTTACCTTGTTGAGCTTGGGTACCATAGCTAAATCAACCAATTCTTTTGACAATAACCCCATGTGGATATCTTTCAGCCTACTTTGCCTCATTGACTCCAGAGTAATCCTGCCATATCCAAGTTCTGCTAGTACTTGTCTCCTCATTTGTTAAGTGTTTTTTAAACTTGTATCTGTATTTAGTTCCAACATCCTCCCCCCCCTCCCAAATTTGTTTCTTAATAGGCATGAATTTTCTTTTGGAATGCATAAATGATGCACATTGTAGTTATTTTAGTATCTATCTGTGAGGAGCCTATAAAGTATTCAGATTAAATGATGCAATGCACTGGCTTTTTGCAGGCAGACAAGGTGACTGTCATATTTCCTATGAGATTTAATGATTCCATAGATACTGTTCTAGCAACATCTTTCTTACAGGTAAACTTATACACGTTTTAATGTGTTCTTGTCCTTATCTTTATATCATCCCAATCCAAGAAATGAAAAGGTGTGAGAACTAATAGCTTCCAATAAAAGTAGTATTATTAGAAAATTTCTGTTCATTTTGTTTTATGCTAACGGATTACTGTGGTAAACATTCTGATATTTGAACATCCAAATTAAGCCTTCATCATGTTAAAACATAGAACTTGGGCCTAATTCAATTCCAAAAGTAACTCTTGAGGAGAGGATTGCCTAAGACCATATAAAGAGACGACAATCATTTCCTCAACCAATGCGACACTTAACAGTCCCCGACATGCCGAAAGCTGGACAACTGAAGCGTGGATAACATAACACGGGGTCCAACATTGAGAAACATAAGAACATGGATTGATGAGTTTGACTCTGATACCATGTTAAGAGATGGAACTTGGACCTAACTAAACCCTAAAAAATCTAGCTCATGGGGAGGATTGCCTAAGATCTCATCAGAAGACTACAACCAATTTCCTCGACTAGTGTGGGACTTAAACACATCCTATTAGTTTGAAGATTGTTTTGAAATTGGATACAATATGATTCGTTTCTTTGTAATCAATTTGCTTGTCACTTTCTTATCATCTTCAAGACTGAAGTTTTTATGCCATTTGTGATACCAAAGAAACCGTATGTCTTCCGGGAAGACTTGAAGGTGCAATGAGTCGTATATAGGCCATTGTCTTTGAGAAAAAAATCCAGCTCTTTCATTCAATTTTCTTGCAAGATTTTTGGTGCTTCTCTTTTCCATTGGGATATTACTCTACATGTGCCTGAATGAGTAGGGTGGTTCACTCTTTGAAATTTGATTTTTGTCAGGAATTTGTTGAGGCAAGGCGAACTGCTGGACTTAACAATGCCCCTCCTTGTTTATGGTCTCCATCTCCTCCTCAAGAACTGACGGAAGCTTTTACAGAATCATTATCTGCTAATGCCGGATTTGTTAGTTTTGGTATAACAGATATTTTAACTTTGTTATTCCATTGATATTTTGTGATTCCCATGACCAACTTATTTTCTGGCAAACACAGTAATTTTTTCTCGCCACGTGGAAGGCAGAAAGCTGGACAGAACTGTCTGGAACCTATCAACCTTTCATGCTTATGTAAATTATCATGTTAAGGTGAGAATTCTAGACCAAAAGTTTCTTGTCTATTGACTTAATTATGTCACATTAATGTACTTCCATACTTGATGCAACACAATTCACAACGTCTTATGTTCAGAAGGTCTCTAGTGAATCTTGAATATATGCTTTGAAAGATTTCCGTAAATGATGATGACCTTCAACCTTATAGAAGGCCTTGCTGACTAAATATAGAAAGCTTCATTCACAATTATGTTCCTGTATTTTACTAACTACTTTCTTCTATATTTCTGTGACTACAAAATTTTAGACAAGGATTCTTCATTCTATTAGAATTTTTTAAAGCTCTTCATTCTTTGAATCCACGAAATTAAAATGTCCCACACAGTGGATGTTTGGCATTATATATATATATTACCTTTTATACATTTTAGGAGAATATGAAGACTAAATGCCACACATATATATCCCAATAGCTAAAGCTGTTTGTAATGATTTCTAATTCAGGCCTTTGTAACCTAACCTGTATAGTGTTCCTGGATATTTAGTACTGGAATCTGTAGATCCTTGAAGCAGTTTATCTATGGAGGCCTTGAGCCTGTTAAAGTCTTGCAACTGCAAGGTTCCTTGTGTATTCACTAACTTGGATTATTTCAAAGAAACGATCTTTCTCAAGTGAAGTGATCAATTTATAGCATGTTTATAACCATTGCGGCATGCCTCAAAAGTTTTTAATATGATAATATTATTTCTGTCAAACTTTATATCCGAAATTTAATCACTCCGATGTTTTTTCTGTAAACAGTGTTCTGAATGTTTCATGCATACTCGAATGAGGCGTCAGGTGGAGTCATTGATACAGGTAATTATCAATCTTACATGATAAATATAGGAACAATAGAATAGCATGTTTATGCCATTCTGTAATACAAATGCGTGCTTGGCAATGACCACCTACAAAGAATGCTAATTGGAAAGTTTGCTAAATTTTATATCCGTGGTTGCGTTTTTTTTACTTTTTGCTGAAAGAATCATGGCAACTGTTTACCTTTAGCAATAAGTTCACGCTTGTTCCGATGAGGCTGAATGTAGAGGTTTCCTAATGGTTTTTTGTGCAATCCTATCAAAATGTCTGAGTTTGTTTCTCTTGGGGAATTAGGTGATTTCCATTTTGTGTTTTTCCATGAAACTTGTTCATCAAAGTCATTCTACGAAAAAGCTAAATGGTTAAGGTCCAATCTTGTTCTTGTATGGCTGGCACATTCATATTAGTATCCACATCTCTGCAACACTCATCTTGTATAAGGCTGGGCACCGGAACGGGTTGTACCAGTACCATTCCGGTCCGTTCCGGTCCGGTAGTATTCGGGACGGGATGGGATACATTGAACCGGTACACGGAACGGAACGGTACCATGATTTGGTACCGGTACCGGTTCATCCCGGTTCATTCCGGTTCCGTTCCGGTCCGGTCCGGTACTGGTCCGGTCCCGGTAAATCATTTTTAATTAAAATAAAAAATAATATTTTTGTCATTATTTACTTTTATTAGCATTTCTTTTTTGTTTATTTAATTTTTTTTAAATTACAAACTTAAGTTATTTAACTTACAAGTTATAAGTATAACTTAATAACTTATAAACTCAAAAGATTCAAATCTTTAAAACTTATAACATAACTACATAAGCTCAAAAACTAAAAAAAAAACTTTATTAAACTTAACTTACAATTTATATATGTAAAAATTAAAAAAAAAAATCTTTAAAATAAACTTAAGTAAAATTATTATAAATTTTAAAACTTAAATACTATAAACTAATATAACTTAGAAAAATAAAAAAAACATTCGAATTTTCGTAATTCAAATTTACTCAAAAAAATAATTATTTTTTGAAATAGCTATATGTGCCATCCCGTTTATCCCGTTCTGTTCCGTTCCGGTCCGTCCCGGTTCTATCCCGGTATATAGTGGGACGGGACGGAACTGAGCCTCCATCCCGGTAATTCCGGTCCGGTTCATCCCGGTACCGGTCAACAACCCGGTCAAACCGTCCCGTTCCGGTCCGGTACCGGTTCGTTCTGGTCCGGTGCCCAGTCTTATTCTTGTAGATACGGTGGACTCTAGCAGCCCACATTCACTCTCATATAACATTACTGGTTTTATACTATATAATACATGTTGCTTAAATGGCGTCTATGTGACCTTCCGAAACACGATGCTTGATGACCCTAGTGCCTTTTAAGGACTGAAGTCCCACATGTATCTCAGCTTTAATTCAATTTTCTGTTTTGATATCACATTCTGCCTACTCAGCTGCATTGTTTTGTCTTACTGCAGTTCCTTGTAACTAAAATGCCTCGAGACTCATTTCTTGAATTATTTTTCTTGTTTACTTGCTGATCCTAGAACTTGTAAGTTTGCGGGTTCACACATTTATAACTCTTCTGCAGGCACTTGACCGTGCCAAACCAGATCCCGAGAAGGCCAAGAAAAATTCACCTAACCGATCATTTAAACGAATGGTAAGTCATTTGATTTGCTTGATCTCTACACCAAATCGTTTCTTACCATCTAATCTGTTTTCTTTCTTGACATTTTTATAGAGCCTCAAGGATGGCAATAACAGTTTGGGTTCGCGAAGTTGGAAGTAGAAAATTGGGGAATTGAAGGTTACTTGGCCTGAAATTATAGTAAACACCGCCTCTTCTCTAATAAACTCCATTTTACTTATTGTGTTCATGTTTATAGTTGTCGTTGTAAATCTTATTGAATTGTCTTCGGCGTTAGATTTAAACTTAGCCATCTTGCTGAAGCTTCAAGTTTTGGTTAGCAGATTGCATTTGTTTAGGTTCATGCAAATTAGTGTAAGATTTGCTTTGTAACAACTTGCAATATTCCCATTTTATAAAGTTGCATTTTTGCTTATGCTCTAAAATTTGTCTCCGTGTGACCGGTTCAAGCTGTGGAAGTAGCCACTAATGCTTGCATTAGGGTAGACTGTCTTCATCACATTTCTTGAGGTGCGGTCCTTCCCTGGACTCTACGTGAATGCAGGATGTTTTGTGCAGCAAACTGCTCTTTTTAGACCATTGAGAAATTGGACCATGTTATCAAGCATCTCAACTATGAAATTTGGCTTGATTTTTGGGGTTAACTGATATTTTTATTAGTGGACAACAAATATGAAATAATCGAGATACATGCAAGTCGACAATAAGTATCAAATAATTGATCAAAATGTGTAATAACAATTAGCAAATATATGAAATAGCAACATCAATACTTTACTGAATCAATATTTACGAAGAGACTAAGTTCACATGTTATGCATTAATTAATTTGATGTAAATACCAGGTGCGATTATTTATTTTTTCCGACAAAGGAAACTGTGGGACCCACAATTAATCAAGGTTCCCTTCCCTCTATTCTCATCTTCCGTGACTCTCCGGTCACTGTACCTGAAACCCTCTAACAGACGGCGCTGCTTCGTACGGACGGAATTAGGGACCTAAGGAGTTCATCGAAAAATTATATTTTGTATATAAAGTTAATATTTCTATGTATAAAAATAGTAACACATATCGATCAGTGGTTATTACCTATTTTAATGATGAAAGACTCACTTTATATAACAAACGATTTAGTGTGATCGCATGGTTATCTTATTATCTTTTTCATTATGCAATTACTTGTCGTTTAATAATTTTATTTTGTAAACGTTATACATTCATAAAATAATACAACATAATACAATAAGACAAAATAAAACGATACATTATGAAACAATGAAGAACAACCATCTATTATTTGTATTCTTGATTTCTCGGGCGTTCATTCTTCATATTTTTTAATTTCCTTTATAAACCTTCTAACTATGGATCAATATTCAACTAAAGTCTCTATTTTCTTTTCGAATTCTAAGGATGAACAGGTCAATCCTAACATCATTTATAAGGAACCAAATGACGAAACCTTCTTTGTCAGATTAAAGATGTCTTTGACATTCATAAATTTTAAAACTCTAGATCTGTCAATTAGAGATAATCCATTGATATTAACCAAAAGACTAAAGAAATAAGTCTTGAAGAAGACATTAAATTCTAAGACAAAAAGACTAAAGAAAACAACAAAATTTTCCAAACTTAATTGTCATATCAACAAAGAAGTGTTGTTTTCATAATTTAATGCTGCACCTAATTAATTAACTAATCTTGGCAATATTGACTAATTCTTTCATGTAAATTATCAAATAATTAAGCAGACCACACAATGCCCAAAAACTTCCAATAAGTTTGTGGAAAATAATCTAATAGACAAAACACAAACACACACATACACACAATGTTTTATTACTGTCTTCAGAGCTCTATCTATAATTTTACGAGAACTCAATAGCTTTTATTTAATCATTATTCTTACCTTCATGGCTAACTTTTCTATGTTCATAAGTCTACATCGACCTCAAATTAATCATAAAGTTATTTTTTTCTTGATTTCAATTTTTCTTAACAAAGAAAGTGAATATATAAGATAATAATTAGTTAAATGATCATCTGATGAATCAATCAATTTAAATAAAATCTACAGAATAAAAAGTAAAAATGAGAACCGAACTGTCTTTATATATTTCATCTATCTAATATGATAACTTATAAAAATAAGATGATATGATTGGAGATAGATTCCAAATTCAAAGTTTATAACAATGGTACATATATATTTACAATTATTTAGTAAATTTTTTATTATGCTCGCGTAATTAAAATTTAAATGAAAGTTACTAAGTTCTCATAAATTTATTGTCTGGAGAGTTATTACGCTATCAATCTGTCACTCAATCACATTACTAACCCTATTTAGGATTGACATTCATTTTCGTCACTAAATTTGATAGAAAAAAGCATTGTCATTGATAGTGACTTAACTATTATAGACTTGGTATAATCACCATATTTTATTTTATTTTAATTTTATGTAAATAAAAAAAAAGTGATAGCAAGTTGGAAGAATGACCAAGTCTTTGAAATTGACTTGAAAAAAGACTCAATATTTTAAGTGGACATGCATTCATGTGGATACCAAAATCTTCCAAATTCTATGTGGAAAATATTCTCATCATAGTATTAAAAAATATATTATTGTAAATAATCTTTTTTAATTCATCTGGTGTTTGGTAAATTTCACATTCACTACGATAAATGGAAATTTCCTCCCTTTAACATGTTAAGATGATGGAAATTTTCCGACAACATTTTCTCCATTTTCAAAGAATAATATGACATTATGTCTATCGTGTTTCTCTTTCACACATTTTTTGAAAAAATGTTAATTAAGAGGGGTTTTATTATTTTACTGTCATTATGACTTAAGGTATCATTTGTATTCATTGAATATTTACTTGAGGTATTTCAAGTAGTCTTCAATAATAATTGATACTAAAGAGAGATGAAAGAAACATAATTAATTTTATCTCAAACTCTTAAAATGAATATTTCTTCTCTTTATTTTTAATCGTCCAATTTAAACTTAACATATTTTTTTAAGAAATAATAATTAATATGAATGCTTTTGCTGTTTTACCACAATACATACTTATATTAATTGATATTTAGTCTTGAAAAATGATTCTAAAATAAATAATTAATGATCTAAAAATACTAATACTCCTATGTATGTTTTTTTTTATTGATATGCCAAAGTGATATAATAAAGACGGACATCTATTTTTAATATAATTACAAATAGAAATAAAGAAAAAGAGTAACGTAATATAACTATTTTTAGAAATCACGATGGATAAGATCGGAAGAGTAAGATGATAACTGAAAATTATGTCTTTAAAAGTGAACAAGTAAAAGTGATTTATTTTTAAATAAAAATATATTAGATAGAATAAAAAATGACAAGTAAAAACTAATAAACAAATAAAAACGAAATAATTAGCTCATGGTAATTTTATTTTATTTTTTGGGTAGACACTTTCCACGAAAGTTGCAATTAGATGGAATAATAATTTAATGAGTGCTGTTGAAGGAAAAAAAACATATAGAGGCAAATTTCTCTATAAGGATATTGTTTGTTTCGATATTTTTTCTAGCTATAACAATAAATATTATTATAAACAATATATAACATAATATAACATAACACGAAATATTAGTTTTATAGAAGATATAAATATTATAATAAAATATTGTTATCAAAATATATAGTACAATCAAATGTTTGATTTCACAATGAAATCATCCTAATATTTCCTCTCTTTTTTCCTATCTTAACCCTTCTAAGATGAAATACAAACTAATTTTACTATCAATAGTTATAGTGGACAGATAAAATTCCTCTACTCTGTTGTTTCGGGTTCAATTTCTGAAAAAATCCTAGTATTGAGTGATTCTTTCTATAATGAACTTTATACGAACATAAATCAACTTAGTCAGGTCCCAGAGCAGATATCGAGTTTACATCCAGTTAAATGGTTCCCAACCACTAATTAGAGTCTCATCATGAAGATTACTTTTAACCCTCTTGTTGTTGTGTGAGTTGATGTTAATTTCTTGATTAATAATAGGGATGTGATCATTATGATGAAGATTAACATAATCTTGTTCTTCCATAGCTAAGCTTTCATCAGGGGAACTTATTGCCTCCATTTTAGTGACATTTTCCATAGAAATTCCACCTTGATTTATAGTTGATTTTGATGGTTCCCTTGTTATTGTTGGTGCAATTGGTCTCCGATCGAACGCTTGAAAACTTCCTGATATGACGTAAATTCGACATAAACTCATTTCGTGCCTTAACTGCAATAAACGAGTGACAAAATTAGCTCATTAAATTACAAACATGTCTAACTCATGTAAGTTTGAGTAAAATAACGACCTATTGATTTATTAACTTAACTTTGACCTGTTCAAATTTATCTCATCTGAAAATTGAGCTTATTTAAATAAAGTACATAGCCTAAATTGACACATGAAAAAACAATATTGTTGAAACATTATTATTATTATTATTATTATTATTATTATTATTATTATTATTATTATTATTATTATTATTATTATATATGTAATAAATAAGATTTTTTTAAAACTTAATTTTGTTAAATATATCATAAGAAAAAAAAGGATAAATTAAAATTTCATGTAATGTGTATAATTCATTTAGTCAATCTTAATTTGTTTGAGGTTGGAATTATTATTTTTGTTATAAAGATTAGTATGCAATATATATCCATGATGAAGATTACAAGTATCTTTATTGAAGATATAGAAAAGAATTAGTTTCCTTTTCAAATATTATAGCACAACAATAATATATTCAATATAATTATTCAAAAGTAAGATCTGGAGTAACACAGATTTTATCCTTATTCCTATGGAGTAGAAATGTTAAATTCTATAGACCTTTGACTTAAGAAAATCATTTTCTTTACCAAACAAGTTTAAAGGAAATGCAAGAAATATCGTAGAAAGAAAAGTATCGACAGTAAAAAATAATATTACCTTAGGAATAGAAATAGTTGAATTAACTTCTTCTTCAATAGCTCTATATTCATTCATTTTCCACTTAGTTTTTTTACCAGTAGGTGCTTTTCCTTTATAAAATACCATACTTTTTTTAACTCCAATAACTTTGCTATTTGATGAATAAACATAACTTGGTGAACCAGTTGCTTTCCAATAACCACAATTTGTTGTTCTACATGGTCTTCCTCCTCTAGCTTCTCTTTCTTGTCTTGGCACAAAGAAAAACCATTGTTCTGTATCTCCCATGCACAATTCCCCATGAAATTCTACATAAAAAATATTACACATAGTTTAAGTTCTATGTACTGATAATATAGAAAAATAAAAGTCGATAGCATAATCAAGGCATTTATAATAAGGTGTATTTTCTATACAGTCGAACATGTTTATACAACAATGTCGTTTGTTCAGATATAGTGTTATAGAGAAATGTTGTTATTGTAACCAGTTTCAAAGAGAACATGAACAATTTTGTGTTTGGTTTTAAACTACAAGTTTGTAATAACTTTTTATTTTCTCAAACTTTGTGCTTAGTCAAGTACTGTTATATAAGTTATGATAGGAGGAGTATAAATCTCTATAATATGCATTAAATAATAACTTTATATAACATATTAAATTACACTAATAATATCATCAGCGTATATAACTTAAATTCAAATATTGTAACCATGCAAATTGGTTTATTAAAATGGTGATCAAGAATGAAGATAAAGAAAGAAGTAGAAGAAGATAGTTTGTGTGGTCGAAAATGCCACATAAACTGAAACAGATGAAGCACTAATCCCAAGTAAATATTTTCTACAATAAGCACTAACTTGATATAAAACGACACTAATACTATCGATCGATGCATATAACTTAAACTTTAGAATTATAATCATGAAAATTGTGAAGATGAAGAAATGAACAAGAACTAGAAGAAAAGTATTGTGTATACTTGAAAGATATCACATAAGCTGGAACAGATAGAACACTAATAAATAATTTTGATAAAAACGATAATTAAATCGGTATAACATGTTAAATTGTATTGATACTATCGAAGTTGTACTTACTTGGAAGATGCCATGGATCAAAATCATAAATAGTAACAACTGGAATTACTCTATCAAGCTCTGGCCTTTTTCCTTCAAGCTTTTTATGTAAATAAAAAGATATTAATTCTTCTTCTGTTGGATAAAATCTAAATCCTGGTGAAATAATTTCCACCATTTTTATCCTTTTTTTTCTTTTAAATTAAAAAAAAACTATTTTTTCTCTTGTTTTGTTTTTGGTTTTGGTTTTGTATTTGCTATATATTTATAGTAATTGTTCCACAAAATGGGACAATAGAGTTAACGTGTGAACTGAGAATTTTATTTTTATTTGATTGAAAAGTTTCCACACGGTTTTAATTAGTTGTCCCAATAATAATATTTAGGTTTATTTGTACCCTTTTTTTATCTCATTATTAATCATTTCTTATTTTGAACAAGTCAAACTTTTTTTAAATTATTTTTTCTGTTTTTTTCAAGTGATGTCTCAATCAATAAGCCTTTTCTTTTTTTGTACTTGCAAGTAAATTTTTTTCTAAATTTTAATCTAATATAAAGATGTATGGTTCATAAAGTACTAATTTTATTTGTTCATAAAGTTAATTAATTTTTAATTCTACGAAATATTTCCCTTCATATCAAATTTGCTTAAAATATATTATTTTGTGTGTATAAACACTTGTTTAAATTTTTTAAACTCAAAAAGAGTCGATGGACTCTTTTAGAGCCCGTTTGGATTGACTTAAAAAAAGTAACTTTTAAGTAAAAATATAAAAAGTCAAACTGAAACGAGTTTTAAGTCAAAAAATAAAAAGTAGGGGGAGACCTACTTTTGGTTTCTGACTTATTTTAAGTCATTTTTGACCTTTTCTAAGTTATTTTTTATATTGCCAAACTGCAGAAGTCAAAAACTGACCGAAAAGTAGGTTTGACCAACTTTTAAGCCAATTCAAATACTCTCTTATTCTACTCTTTTTAGAAATTCGAAATTATGTGATCGACCTGAGAGTTATCTTATGAAATATTTTTTTCCATTTGGTAATGTAACTAATTCATTTAACCAAACCAATCTATAATTCCAATAAAGAACATTTTATGTTTTAAGTGTGTCTATAGAAACTTTGAGAGGATAAAAAAATATTATAGAAAGCTAAAGTGGAAACAAAATTGATTTAAAATAACGAGAGAAGAAGCAAGTTGCTACAAATTTATTTCATCACATATACTTATACCAATATGGATTGTGGTACAGTAGTGAGACTACTTCACTCTTATTCGAGGTCTCACGTAGTCGTGTTAGAACTATGGATATGGAATTTTTTTTGTTGAGAGTGTCACCCTCAAATAGGCCATGCAATATATGATCCAGAAACGGTTCGATGCACTAAGTTCCAACTAATCTATATAAACGCACCAAAGTGAAACAGAGAGATTTTCGATTTTCAATATTTTAATTATGGTTTATAATTTAAATTCGTCAAATTTATATCATATATGCATAAATTAAAAGAGTTTACGGGTCACAAATGACAACTACAAACTATAAGGGTGTAAAATGTAGATAAAAAATTTAGCAGGCCGATCGTTCGAATTTTATTAAGCGATTTTCAACGGTTCTGGCAGAATTTAATTAGACCGGTGACAAGAAAAATGGGGGGTGATAATGCATAAATTCTACGTATATTTTATTTCGATTTTACTTATAAAACTATACGAAATATGTTATTATTATTGTTATTGTTTTTAATACTTATACCTTATTAATTATGACACAGACAAATATCAATGGTGGAAAAAACACTATATTAGGACAGCTCATTTAAGGGTGTTTACTTGTCTTTGCTATGCACACACGTCACAAAATTGATGCGTAAGAAGATGTACAAATCATATAAATCATGCTTTAAAATAAAAATAGAGCTTCACTTGGAATCTTTTATTATTTACTATACTAATTCTATTTGTTATTATACGTAACCTACAATTATTTTTAAGTGAATTGATAGTGTTAAATATTTACATTTGTCCATTATTAGCTTAACACACATTTTAAGAAATAATAAATAATAGAGATAATATTACTATATTATTCTTTGAATATATTAATTTTAATGCCTTGGAAAATATATTGAATACTATTATTTAATATCAATGGTAAAATAGACACAAAAGGATAAATTATCTTTTGATTTTTCAAACTAAACAAGTATTGTTGGATAATTACTTTTAATATAATAGACAAGTAAAGATATACGGAGAAAATAATAGTATTATGACAAAGAAGGTATCTCTTCACCAAAAATTGTACTTTATTTTTATATTTATAGACATGTAAAAATAATAAAATATAATACTTAATGTTTGGTTTAAAAAATAAAGAGGTTAAAGTTACACGTTTTCTTAATAAGGGCCAACATCATCATCATTGTACAATATTTTATTGGAGTAATTTGCTGGACATGAATTGGTAATGTATATGGGTTCCACTTCAGTATTTTCTCAATTTTAATTTATTTATTTTTACTTTTTCTACATTTGATATATATTTTAAAGTTATGATAAAGTATTATAACAATAGAACTTATGTCTAGTGAGCCATAAATTCTTTAGAAATTAAAATCATATTCGAACTTAACTTGTGAAATATTATAATATAAAAATATAAACTTTCATGGCGTAAGTAAGTTATTTATAGTAAGAGGCATAAATTAAAAGCCAACACCAAAAAGAGAAAACAGTGCAAATGACACACGAAATGGTCACAAATCGTTTTTGTTGCTTCTTTTATTAATGAACATATCAACCAGTTCCAACTATGAAATAACATAACTCAAAGGCAATATGAAATTTCTTTAAACAAACTAGGAACAAGTTAATAGGAGGAACAAATGCATTAAACCAAATAGTGCTGGATTATTCCACTTTATATCACATGTTTCTTTTAGAAACATACGTAATACAATTGATACAACTCCAGCTGTTACAAGTAGTTTTTATTATTCATTTAATAGTAACCAGAAGGTGGAGGATTTCCATACCCTGGTGAGCTTTGGGGTGGACTTGGTGGAGGTTTGTAGATGGGAGTAGGTGGTGGGCTTGGTGGAGGAGGTGGTGGGATTGATGGAGGTTTATAGACCGGAGTAGGTGGTGGACTTGGTGGAGATGGCGGTGGGCTTGATGGAGGTTTGTAGGCTGGAGCGGGCGGTGGGATTGGTGGAGGAGGCACTGGACTTGATGGAGGTTTGTAGGCAGGAGGGGGTGGTGGGGGTGGTGGAGGAGGCGGTGGACTTGGTGGAGGCGGTGGAGGAGGCGATGGACTTGGTGAAGGTTTGTAGGCAGGAGGGGGTGGTGGGGGTGGTGGTGGTGGTGAAGGAGGCGATGGACTTGGTGGAGGTTTGTAGGCAGGTGGGGGTGGTGGAGGAGGCGATGGACTTGGTGGAGGTTTGTAGGCAGGAGGGGGTGGTGGGGGCGGTGGAGGAGGCGATGGACTTGGTGGAGGTTTATAGGCAGGTGGGGGTGGTGGAGGAGGTGATGGACTTGGTGGAGGTTTGTAGGCAAGAGGGGGTGGTGGGGATGGTGGGGGCGGTGGAGGAGGCGATGGACTTGGTGGAGGTTTGTAGGTAGGAGGGGATGGTGGGGGCGGTGGACTTGGTGTAGGTTTGTAGGCAGGAGGGGGCGGTGGGGGCGGTGGAGGAGGCGATGGACTTGGTGGAGGTTTGTAGGCAGGAGGGGGTGGTGGAGGAGGCGATGGACTTGGTGGAGGTTTGTAGGCAGGAGGGGGTGGTGGGAGCGGTGGAGGAGGCGATGGACTTGGTGGAGGTTTGTAGGTAGGAGGGGGTGGTGGGGGCGGTAGAGGAGGCGATGGACTTGGTGTAGGTTTGTAGGCAGGAGGGGATAGTGGGGGCGGTGGAGGAGGCGATGGACTTGGTGGAGGTTTGTAGGCAGGAGGGGGTGGTGGGGGCAGTGGAGGAGGCGATAGACTTGGTGGAGGTTTGTAGACAGGAGGGGGTGGTGGAGGCGATGGACTTGGTGGAGATTTATAGGCAGGAGGGGGTAGTGGAGGCGGTGGAGGAGGCGATGGACTTGGTGGAGGTTTATAGGCAGGAGGGGGTGGAGGAGGCGATGGACTTGGTGAAGGTTTGTAGGCAGGAGGGGATGGTGGGGGTGGTGGAGGAGGCGATAGACTTGGTGGAGGTTTGTAGGCAGGTGGTGGTGGTGGTGGGGGTGGTGGAGGAGGCGATGGACTTGGTGGAGGTTTGTAGGCAGGAGGGGTTGGTGGGGGTGGTGGGGGCGGTGGAGGAGGCGATGGACTTGTTGGAGGTTTGTAGACAGGAGCGGGTGGTGGGCTTGGTGGAGGTTTGTAGACTGGAGGGGATGGTGGGGGTGGTGGAGGAGGCGATGGACTTGGTGGAGGTTTGTACGCAGGAGGGGATGGTGGGGGTGGTGGTGGTGGTGGAGGAGGCGATGGACTTGGTGGAGGTTTGTAGGCAGGTGGGGGTGGTGGAGGTGGTGGAGGAGGCGATGGACTTGGTGGAGGTTTGTAGGCAGGAGGGGGTGGTGGGGGCGGTGGAGGAGGCGATGGACTTGTTGGAGGTTTGTAGGCAGGTGGTGGTGGTGGTGAAGGAGGCGATGGACTTGGTGGAGGTTTGTAGGCAGGTGGTGGTGGGGGTGGTGGGGGTGGTGGAGGAGGCGATGGACTTGGTGGAGGTTTGTAGGCAGGAGGGGGTGGTGGGGGCGGTGGAGGAGGCGATGGACTTGTTGGAGGTTTGTAGGCAGGTGGTGGTGGTGGAGGAGGAGGCGGCGATGGACTTGGTGGCGGCTTGTAGGCAGGTGGTGGTGGTGGTGGTGGAGTAGGCGATGGACTTGGTGGAGGTTTGTAGGCAGGAGGGGGTGGTGGGGGCGGTGGAGGAGGCGATGGACTTGTTGGAGGTTTGTAGACAGGAGCGGGTGGTGGCTGGTAAGTAGGAGGTGTTTGAAGAGGTGGTGGAGATGCTGGAGGAGGTTGGTCATAAGCTGAACTTGGTAGAATTTTTAATAGTGATCTCCTATAGACCTTTGGTTGAGGATAATTTGCATAAGACACTTGCCTATATGATGGATATTTAGGTACTTTAGGTTGTGGAGTTGAAGGAGTCTCATAGATAGAGGATGAAGGTTGTGGAGGTGTGTATACATATGCAGGCTTAGTATATACTCGTGAATTCAAGGTTGATTGTCGCAAAAGGGATGGAGCAAAATTGTTATCCGCAACAATTTTATCGCTAGCCCAAGAACAAAGGTAACTGGATCCTGTTCCCTCCTTACATTTCTTGGAAACATCTCCATTAAAAAGAAGCTCTTGTGCTACACCAATAGAGAAAAACAACACAAGAAAACATAGAGAAACACAAAATTGCTTGTTAAACAGAGTCAAGTTTTTCATTGTATGAAAGTTAATAGTCATAGAGGTGAGCTCTAATGTACTAACATTTCTTCACAGTATATTACTTTGATTGAATGTAGATATTGAGATGGTAAGTCCGAGCTTTTATACTAAAAAAACTTGAGAGAACTATTATCAAATACGAATTCGTGTCAAGACGATGGAGGTTTTAGCATTGGATTTTTCTGCATGTTCTAAAGTTTTGTGAAGACGAATGTCAAGTTTTCATGGTGGGAAAAGTAACTTTGAAAAATTTCCTTTGTAGTAATGAAAGAGTTAATAAGTTAGTTAGTTGGAGATAAGATGGTAATAAAGATATTCACCTATTTTTGGCTTGGAATTACTACTATTTTAGCTTGCTTTTTGTAGAGTTGTAAAGCTTTTGAAGTTTCTTGAATAAAGTAAAAATAAAATATAAAAATTAATGTCGACAATTTCTTAAATTGAATTGTTACATCTTTTAATCAAATCTAAGATTGTTTCTTGGATTATGAGCTGAAGGGGTGGTAAAGTGTACACAAAATAATTAAATCAGAAATGATATATCTTTTTTTAATTTATAAGTATATATAGATATTCAGAAAAGTATAATAAATTTGTAATAACTCTGATTTTAAGATGATCAAATGATATCTTAATTAAAGATTTACTTAGTTGTATTTCAAGATAGTGAATTGCATAGGTGTTGGTTGAAATGTATCGCTCATAATGGTGAAATCATATTCAATTAAAAAAAATTGTGAATGTGAATAGTGTAACTATATTTTTTTATTGATATGATGCGAATAATGTTTTAAATGTGGTCGAAATGTGAATTTCCCAATATTTGCAATACACAAACTTTAGTATAGCAATTGTGAAGTTTACAATTAGTTAAGATTTCAAGATAATTAAATGATACTTTGAAAACCTTAATTAAAAGATTATTTTGTTTCATTTCAATTTGATTCACAAATTTTAGCTTATCATGTATAGTTACTATTTACTATGAAGCTTACAGTTAGTTTAATTAATTATGTTCAATGTTACATTTTATGTGACATATTTTTTAATTCTAGTTTATTTCAAAATGAATATTTTGTGTTTGGAAATAATTTAATTTTAAATTTATCATTTTATCTTTAACGAGATAATTTATGATCACATAAACGTTTATGGCTTATATAATTTGTAAATTTCAAAAGTATTTCTTTTTTAAAAAATTAAAAAATATATCTGAAATCAATATGCAAACATGGATTTTAAGGTTAGTTAGGGAGGTAAGAAGCTAGTAATTTAAGTCATTAATAACATTCTGTTTGGAGATAAATATTTGTTGTAATCTGACATGGATTTTAAGGTTAGTTAGGGAGATAAGAAGCTAGTAATTTAAGTTATTAATAGCATTCTGTTTGGAGATAGATTTAGCAAATTACTAGAATCAACTTTTTTGTACTATCTTGCTAGCTAAAAGTCTTTTATTTTCATCGAGTTTTTGGCATTGCTTTGTTTTTTTCTCTTCCGATTAGCAAGTTCCAACACATTTATTCAAAGTTTTTTCCATTTGTACTGAATCGCTTACGATTTAATGAATGATCATTTCACAGCTACACATAACATTTTTATTCCATTTTGTTTCTTACAATTTCCCTCATCTTTCATCTACTAAAAAAACTGGATTTAGTTACGGATAAATTTTGTAGCTAAACAGCAAAATCGATCGATAATCCTACTTAGTGATGAATTAGCGACAAATTTTCATTAGCTACAAACTAAATAACGACAGACCAGCGAAGAAATTTATAATTAATTATAGTGTTTTTTAATAGTATATTCTCTAAATTCTCTTTGTGATCTTTTACTATTCAATAAGTCAAATAATTTTTTACTTTTCATAAGTTATACATTAAATTTAGGGAAAAGGGTCAAAAATACCCCTCAACTTTGGTTTATTGTTTGACTATGCCCTCGCCGTTAAAATGAAGTTATTTTTACCCCTCCCGTTACTAATTTCACCAAATTTACCCCTCAATTGGATGGAAATCCCCAAATTGACTCAGTTTAACCCAAATTTTAAAAAAAGACCCATTCCCCATTTTAAACCCAATGCCCGACCCGTCCAAAGTTGAGGGGTATTTTTGACCCTTTGCCCTCAATTGGATGAAAAATCCAAATCAACTAAAATTACCCAATTTCAAATAAATGACCCGATTTTCTCTTTTAATCCAAACCCGACCCATTTATATCAAATTAGAACCCTAAACCCATCTCTCTAATCTTCTCCATCTCCTTCTTCCATTGAAACACATACTACTAAAATTGACAACAAATATTCTGTAGTTAAATTCATGCATATTTGTCCTTCCTACTAAAATTGCACCACTATTTCAGTGTGGTCGGAGCTTGGAGCTCGTTCAATCATCGGATTTTGCTTTCCTGCGGGCAGATCTGAAACTATGATATTGCTTGCTTGTTGAGCCTAGCCAGATATGAAGTTGTGGCTATTGTTTTCGAGCCTTGATTCTCGCCTGATTGTGTTGTTGGTTTGATCTGTTAGCGGTGCTTCAGTTGTTTTCCGATGGAGTTTTGGTCGGGGTTTTGTTGGTTGGTTGTTTGGAGGTCTGAGAACTGGTGGTCTGGTGGTCATTTGCTGGTTGTTTTAGCTTGGGTGATGGAGGTCTGGGTTCTGGTGGGCTTAAGTGTGGTTTTACCACTGGATTTTGGCGTGGAGAGGGTGGTGTTTGAGAGCTGTTTCAGGTCGGTTTTCACGGCTGTTTGAATGATTCCGACGGTGGGTGGTTTGCTTAATGTTGTTCCAGCTTGGAACTGGCCGGAAATGGAGAAGAAAAATCTTGTTGTCGTCACTGGAAAGTAGAGGAAAATGGGTTTGTTGTTAATGTTTTCTGCTTGATGTCGTTTCTGGTTTTGGGGGGTTTTGAGTGGTGGTTTCAGGTGGTCGTTTGGAGGTTGTTTTGGTGGTGTTTCGCCGAAAAACGGAGAAAATGAATGGGGATTGCCGGAGCTTGATTTGGGGTTTTAATTTTGTATAAATGGGTCAGGTTCGGATTAAAAAGAGAAAAAAATGGGTTATTTAATTGAAATTGGGTAATTTTAATTGATTTGGGTTTTCCATCCAATTGAGGGGTAAATTTGGTGAAATTAGTAACGGGAGGGGTAAAAATAACTTCATTTTAACGGCGAGGGCATAGTCAAACAATAAACCAAAGTTGAGGGGTATTTTTGACCCTTTTCCCTTAAATTTATTGTTCTCCTTGTTCTTTCCTATCTACGCTATATTTACTTTTTTTTTATTCAACTTTTCATGAGATAAAACAAACATGTCCTGTTTTCAATTATTTTATTTTCTTCATAAGCTTTTAAAATAGATATTTCCACCATGTCTTCACTAGAATTTTTTTATCTTTTGGTTTGCTCTTCTTTTTTTCATAGGATTGTTTTGAATTCATATATACCATGTTTGGAAATTAATTTAATGTACAATTTTTTGACATACATGTGATTTGTTTTCTGTCATGAAAATTTATATATATAAAAAAGAATGTTGATGTATGCTGTAAGTATTTGCCATAGTGAAATTTGTTAATCTAATATAAGTAAAAAAAAAAAAAATTGGCTATCAATCTGTAAATATTCCACAAGATCCTAATATCAACTATGGAGAGGAAATTAAATTATCAAAAAAAAAAAACTCGATAAAAGTTCATTTGAACGAACAAAAAATGTAGTAGTAATAGAATTAATTTACAGCCTCACAGTGCTTCAAAAAGGTACATAGAAATTACAAAACTGGGAGAAAAGAAATAAACTAGAATTACATAAAAACAAACTTGGAACTCATTTCAATCAACTAACTTCTAAATCAATTATCAAACCAAAATATGTCAAAAGAAAGTAAGCAAAAAAATTAATTTACTTTGGTGTTTCTATCTTTACAGAGCATATGCCATTCTTGAATAATAGCTGCTTGAAGTGCTCGATGCTCGGCTTCTTCTGCTGTCAACTTGAATAGAGTAGTTGGTCCCTTTGTTTTACCACCTTCAACGTTAAGTATGTCATCGTTCTTATTGTTCTCATCGTCTTCTTCTTCCTCCTCTTCTTCATCCTCGGATTTTGGAGACTTTGGGCGAGGTCTTGCAGCCTTTAGTAAGGCTATTCGTTCCATTGAAATCTTTAGATTTTCAGCAGCAGTCACCTTCACTTCATCTTCAGGCATGTATTCAACACCGCCATCAGTTAGGTCATCCAACCAACCCTGAAAATCTGAAGCAATCTCCTTGGTAATGGATTCGTCTGATGCTCGGATAACAAATTTGCACATCATTGTGGTTGTCTCGTCGCCAAGGTCCACATTTCTGCTCACTTCACTTGCACCAAAAACCATCATGCCTAAAAACCCTCCGTACCAGGTTTTAGCAGCAAAACAGAGCTGTTCAATACCAAACAGCAATGAGATAAAGAAAATATGGAATATATTGAATTCAAACGATTATAAATTGAGACAATAAGTTACCCCCACGCCCCCATCCCCACCCAAACTATTGTCATTTTGCGAGTTTTATATCTGAACTATTGGGTGTTCCTGTTATCCCCTGGCATATTGTTCCCTTTATATTAAAAAAATCAGTGGTTGAATATGGGCAAAATGTTTGGCATAACTTATTGAGAGGCGCGTGGGAGATGACTGGAAGAATGAGTTCACGGTAGTTTAGGGGGATCTGTGAACACTCAATAGTTTATGTATGGAACATGCAAAATGATGATAGAATGAGTTCACGGTAGTTTAGGGGGATCTGTGAACACTCAATAGTAAAACTCTTTCAAAAGAAAATCAGAAGACAAAAAGAACTCTTCAGAAAAGAAGTTACTGACCTCAAATCCAGCAACCGTACGGATAATGTGCGAGCAAACTCGGTGGAAAGGTTTGGAAGACAGTGATTTCAGGCCACTTAGAAACGGAGACTCCCCATATTGTTGAGCAGCAGTAGCCATGAATCCACTTC